TGTTGTTGCTTTCTGTGCACAGGACTTGAATATATTCTTGCCCATACTCTGAAAGTGCTGCCCAGTGGCTATTCCAAGTCTCATTCTGACCGCTCAAAGCATTCTTCAGCCTGCAATGCTGTGCCCAGTACTGTTTTTCAGACAAAAAAATGACAGAATAACAAGGAGTCTCAACCCAGCTTCCTTTTTAAACTTAGGGGTTTGATAAATTTGTTGCTGACTCTGACTCCATTTGCATCCCCAAAGATCATCAGATCAAAGATCCTGCATGTAGTGTTCATGCTCTTTATTAAAAAAAAATCTTGTAATAAACAGCAGTACTTAACCAGCCACCTAATCACAACTCTTTGCAAAACTTGTCCCCATTACTGCTTTTCCCTTCAATCCAGGTGCCCTCTTTCCCTCCTGTCTTGGGTAGGTAATTCTCATTTCCTTCCTAGTTCCTATGTCTGTATGAGCAGAAATTCACACAAGTCTCACTTCTGAGTATCCAGACCAAGCACATGAAACTACAATAATGCTCATTTGCAAGCCGTGGGAACAAAGCAAACTCTTGTCTCCAATGCATGGTCAACATCACAAGACTGTGTCCCTCATGGCTGACCAAGAAATGTCTAAGAAAGGTGCGAAAAGAAAGGAGGAAATGGAAGAGAGGATAAAATGGAAGAGTTCCAGACAGCACAGTTTTTGGTACAGTCCTGACTGCCACAGACTACATAAAATTAGACAAGACACAATTGTTTTATGCTTCAGGTTTCTTTCAAGAAGCAGGAATAAACTCCCTTTTCCCTATGATTTGAAGAGATGCATCAGCCCCAAAACAACAGACTGGTGTCAGAGTACAGTGTGGGGAATGTGCTTAGAGACCTAACAATTACATCCAGTTCCAGCCATTATTAAGATGACAGTCCCTCTAAGCTTTTTTTTTTTTTTTTTTTTTAACTTTACATTACTACCCACACTATAGTAGATGTTATTCCTAAAGCTGTGGTCATCTGTTTTTGCATAATACATGATGAGTTACAAATAAAGGATTAATTGTTCATCCTGACACTTTAAACAATCTAGTTTTCCATCAGCTAGAAGACTTTATTAAATGCCTAATCATTAGATTTGCTTTATTACCTTGTGCATAAAAGTGCACAATAGTAACAGCTCCACTGTTAAAGTAACTCTGCTGATGTCTTCAGCTATACCTGTGAGTACTGTTCTTTTTTTCAGAAACATTTCAAGACTTAAAAATTATTTTACTTTGTTGCCCATTTTGTTTGTGGGTTGTTTTTTTTTTTAAACAACTATACCACAAGGACACGCAGTTTCTAGTAAATCTACAGCTGTCACTACATACTGATGTGTAGAATCACATTTCTGAAGTAGAGCAATATAATTTGATGTTGAGAAAAGGTCTCAATTTCTATACTTAAATTCAAAGGATTTGAGGACAGGCTTAAGCTAAGCACGTGCTTAAATGCTTTTTTGAATAAGAATTAAGGTCTTTTAGTTCCTCTGCTTTGAAGTTCAACTTCTGATGCTTATTGATAGTATCTACCACATACAAGACATCAGGCCTTGCCTTTGCTTCCAGGCTTATACTTAAGATGGAGTTTGCAAATGATACATTAGGGAGAGATAAGATGCAGAGGTTTGTTTTACAGAGGGATCAACATTCCACAAGCTGACTTTGAACTTCACACATTGTCAGGGAGCAGCGAGAGAGGAGGTTGCTTCACCAAGTCAGGCAATCTAGGAGTCAAGGGCAACTACAGGTAGGGGCAGTGACCTTGCCAACAAGGGTGCAGTCCCACAGCACCAAGACAGGCAGCAGAGCAGGGGACAGTGACAGGTTCTGTTGAGAGTCCAGTGATCACTAGAGAAATGAGGGGTGACAAGTCGGGTCCAAAGCCAGTCTGGAAAGCCAGTCAGGAAGTCGGGAACAGCAAAGGACAGAACTCTGCAAACTGAGCAGCTTGGGGCAGGAGCGGGGTCCGGGCCAGAGCTAACACGGAGCTTCCAGGCAGTTGATCTGCAAGTAGGAGGTGGCCATACCTGGTGTACTCAGGGCCCTGGCATTTCTTCATGGATTAACATTGGTTTCACCGTTTCTATATTTCAAGAAGCCACACTCATAAAAATAAATCTCATCTAGATACAAGAACAAGCCTTAGGCTCTTGTGCAAACATTTTGGTCACAGGAATTTATTGCTTTTAGAGAACCATTTCTATTGACACAGGAGATAGATGTGTTTACAATGGATCCCAGTAAGAGCCTAAGTTACTTAGTGAAAGGATGAGAAGAAATGGTTAACAAACAGAAAACAACCACAGCTTAGCGTTTGGTCAATAATACTAAATTCTTATTCATAGATTTCAGAGCACTTTTCAAACCTGAAAGAGAAAGAATAAGGGAACTGTGCCAAAGCCACCCAGCAGATCAAGATCATAGAACCAGATCTTTTGGATTTATAGCGGATCACAATCTGAACATAAATTAACGATATTGTGCTGCTGCACAGAAGTACCAACCATACCAGGATGTCCAGTTTTATACCATGTTCCTTCTTTCTAATGAGGGGAAAATGAGAGAAAAACAAGAAATCAGCAGGTTGCCTCATCCAGTGCCATGAGCCAAAGTAGGATCAAATAGATCAGCAAAATGCTCCAGATTACAACTACCTCTGGAATTATAATTGTAATGTTAATCAGCTTCCTCATATAGTCAACCGCACAGCCCCAGCAGATCTTATGCTGTCATAAGGCAGTGTGAGAGAAAATGAGTAGCACCAGGAAGAGGAGAGACAGCAATGATTTATACCAGGTGGTTTATACCAGCATAATGTGCTAAACTATGATGCAACTTGATCTTACTGAGTATCCGCTTTATTTTTTAAAGCATGTTTCTCAATGGTCAAGACTATTTTAAAATTTAATTGTCTTCCTCAGCTTTATGGTACCTGCACAATTAGTAAGTATGTTTTCTGTTCTGTTATTTACATCGTTAATAACAAAAAGACCCAGACTGAAGACAGGCTCTAGGAAGCCAGCAATATATTCTTTCCTTTTGACAGTGAACTACTGCTTACTAACCAGTCAGTTTCATGTAGATCTTATAATACATTTTTTCCAGACCGTATTTCTCTAACTTTTTAATGAAAAGGTCATGTAAGTGTCAAAAACCTAATCAAACTGACAACCGGCTCTGTCCTATCCACAAGGCCTGTTCCTTACTGGAGGAGAAAATCAAGTTATGTGGCGTGATTTATTTTTGACAGATCCATGTTGACTGCTATCATTCCTCGCTTATCATCTAGGTGCTAATAATAGTTTGTGAGATTATTTGTCCCAGGATTTTTCTGGGGATTTAAATTAAATACACAGATTGAGCTGTATTTCTCTGACTCCAGCCCCTGCTTTGAGAACAACAATATACAGTTGCACCTTCTGTTTTTTCTGCATCTCATTCACTTTCTTAATTAAATTTGTTCTTTAACTGTGTCTTTTCATCATGTTCACTAGACTCACACAACTTGAAAATATTTGGTTTACTTGAGTGCTCCTAATCTGTTCTTTACCTACTCTGGGCTGAGACAATTTTGTTCTTGGCATCACCAGTTCTAACAATCTTCTTGCAGGTGATCTTTTTTGGAAGTCTGATACAATAAAGGCTCTAATCACTTCAGCTTTCTTTATAATTCATTTTCAGATTTTCTCTGTTGAGCAGGGGATTAATCTTTTTCTCTGTCTTTCTCTTAGTATGAATGTACTTACAGAGCAGTTTTTATCTGATAGCTTGATACTTCAATTGTGTTGCAGCATACCTTTTTAAATCGTTCTTTCTTACTCTTAGTACTCTTACCTGTCTTCCTCTATATTTTCTTCATGGGCTGAAGGCCACCTCGTAAGGTGGTCAGGCTAGCCTTACTATTATTTCTATTCTACTCATAACTGGGATAAATGTGCCCTTGTGCATCTGGTTTCTGCAAATTCACTTTCTGCAGCAGGTTTGTGCATCATTAGATCAACAACAGCTGTTTTAATGAATCAGCAAACACTGAGAAAACAGCATTTTGTAGAAGAATTCTTATCAAGCTCTAATTGTGGAAAGAAGAACTTTAAGATCTTGGAAAAGCCTGGTGGGTCCCCCTTCTTTCCTTTTTGGAATAATTTATTCCACGGCAGAAGGGCATGCACACACTGCCTCCAGCTTTACAGCCCAGGCGTTGCTGCCTCTCTGTCTATAGAAATCACCTTGACTCAGCCAGTAGAGATCTGCCTCGCCTTTTCATATTTATTTGTGGAATTTTGCTTTTATTTTCAATTCAGTAGGCTCAACATTTTGGCCAATGCAGCTGTAGTGCTGTCCTGTGGAGAAGGGCAGCCCCGTAATGGCCAGGAAGGGGAGAGTCATGTGCTACGGGCAGCGTATGTGAAATGAAGTCCATAGTAGATAGGACTCAGAGTATGTTTGCTCTTGCTGTTCCACCTACCTTGACAACATCCCCTTAACACACTACCGAGATCTCTCTAGACTCATAGAATCATCTAGGTTGGAAGGGACCTTTCAGATCGTCGAGTTCAATCACCAATCTAACTCTGCCAAAACCACCACCAAACTATGTCCCTCAACACCACGCCTACCCATCTTTTAGATGCCCTCAGGGATGGTGATTCCACCACTTCCCTGAGCAGCCTATTACAACTTTTTCCAACCCTTTCAGTGCAGAAATTTTTCCTCATAGCCAATCTAAACCACTCCTTGCACAACTTGAGGCCATTTCCTCTTATCCTATCACCTGTTACTCGGGAAAAGAGACCTACCCTCACCTCGCTACACCCTCCTTTCAGGTAGTTGTTAGCCTTTCTGACAGAAACAACGTGTATTTGCAGCACAACTGCTTCACAAAGCCACAAACCAGCTGCCCCCAGGAACCAGGCCCGGCCTGCACTGCTCCAGGCCCGGTGTTGTGGGCAAACGTGGGCCGCATTCGACGTCCCTCACTTACCCGCCTTCAGAGAAGCCCCTCTCAAGTTTGGCCTCCCGCTCTGTGCCGGCAAGACACAGGCGACTGCAGTTTCTTGCCCGACTAATACCCGCTGCGACAGCACTTGGGAAACTCGTTTATCAAGTTAATGCCGCTGGTTGAATCCAGTGGGCAAACAGCCGTGGGCCCGCCGGCAGCGCTGAGGGGAGAACCGTGGCCAGCCCTTGTCCTCCCCGGGGGGAGCCGGGCGGGCGGGTAGGGGCGGCAGGACGGACGGCGGCCGGCTGCCCGGAGGAGGAAGGGCAAGCTGAGGCAACAGGCGGGAGGAAACGCAAGGGAGAGCCGAGCGCGACCCGCCGCGGAAGCCGCGGTCGCCGCGGCGGAGGGGAACGAAGGCAGGGGCGGGAGGCGGGAGCGGCCGGGGCGGAGGGAGAGAGGGAGGAGCGGGCGGGCGGCCGCCGCCAATCCGTCGGTGTGAGTCAGGCACGTCGGTGGGGTGATGCTGCGGCGCTGGGAAGGCGGCGGCAGCGGCGGGGAGCGGCCCGCCCGTTCGCGCTCGTACCCTTCGCCGTGTCGGCGCCGCCGCTGAGGCGAGCGCCGCTTCCTCCTCCCCCTCCCTGGCCAAGGGCGGCCGCATGGCTGGGGGCGCCGGGCCTGCCTCCTCCCGGCCGCGCCGCGCTCCCTGACAGAGCCGACGGAGGGAGCGGGCCCGCGGCCGCCCGGCGGGAAGGGGCTGGGGCGGGCTGCGGCGCGGGGAGAGCAGGTAGGGCGGGCGGCGGGAGGGAGGGAGCGGCCCGGCGGAGGAGGGGGAGCGGTGGTAGCGCTGTCCTGCGGGGAAGGGCAGCCCCGAAGCGGCCAGGAAGGGGAGAGCGCCGGGGACGGGCGGAGAGCGCGGGCCGGGGAAGAGGAGGGGTCCTGAGGCGAGGGGCTTTCGGCGCGGCTGACGGGCTCCATTCATCTGTGGCTCCTCCCTTCTCACAGGCTGTTGCGTGCGGCTTCCGTCCGGGCATCGAAAGGAAAAGCCAAAAACCAGCCTTGCCCCGAGCCCAGCCGCTTGCCTCTCCTGAAGCTTGGGAAGGAAGGGGACTACAAAGGGGCCGCCCTTGCATTTCATGTTTCGTCAGCCCGACAGCATTTTGGCTTGGATTCCATCTTGCTCCTACCTGTTCCTGGACAGTGACGGGGAGGAGGAGAGGCAGCGTCCCAGCATGTCTCGTTACAGCCTCCATAACCTCCTGGACTGGATGTATGGGGGCGTGGACCCCAGCTTTGCTGGCAATGGAGGGCCAGAGTGCGCGGCCTTTCTCTCCGGGCAGCAGCGCCTTCTGGAGAGTTTGGTCTTCCTCAGCGTGGGCGTCGTGGAGATCCTTCTGTCCCTGTGGAAGCTCAGGCAGCTGCATTTCAGGGAGCTGGAGGGTCACCTGCTGCAGCAGCCCCAGACTAAGCAGGAGAGCTTGGGCAAGAATGTGCTGCTGGTGGTGCTCTGCCTCATCTTTGGGCTGGAGGTGGGCTTCAAGTTTGCCACCAGGACCGTCATTTACCTCCTGAACCCCTGCCATGTGGTCACTATGATGCAGGTAAGGCTTGTGTACAGTCCCTGGGAAGTGTGCTTTTGTTTTTTATTTGCAACGCAGTGTTTTTTCCCCACAGTCGGTTTGTGTACCAAAAGTGCATCACACAATGTATAAATATTTTAAAACTGACTTAGTTTTTAATCAGCTGAATTGAAACATATGAAAAAACCAAGTGAAATGAAAAGGTGATATCGTAGCTATGACTAATGTCCAAATCTCTGGTGGAAAATGCAAAAAATTAAGGCTGTCTCACCATTTGCTTTCACCTAATCCTTGTTTCAAGAACAGAAAATGCTGTTTCTACTGACAGCTGTGGTAAAATGTGTACTAAATTTAATGAAAACAAGATTATTGCTACAGCAGCTATGTAATTTACTTGCAACTTTTTCAAGTAAGTGACTTTTAGGGATGTGAATGTCTTTTGCAAAGGTGTTGGAGAAACAAATTCCTCTTTATTTTGTGCAGGCAACGTTAGTTTACCCTTCTAAGTTTTGAAGCTGAATAGTAAGGAAAAAAGTGTTACCAGCATGTCGTACGTGGGGTGAACAAACTGATCTGGCTCAATACCTGTGGATAAACTATGTGCTTTAATGACGTGGTGTGGTTGTTGATGTGTGATTATGTCCAATTTGTGTAGCTTCTAAGATAATGGAAACATTCATGAACAGTTACCAAACTGTGATATCTTAAAGCTTACAAACTCTGTTTATCAATGGTCCGGTGCACGTACTTAACTACCAGTTTCACTGAGCTTGGTAAGGAGTGGGGGAGATGTCAAAAACTGTTTTGTTTAATTTTGCTCATATTGTATTCTCATCACAACAACTTAGAAGAATTAAGCTCAAGAATTAATAGAAGAATGTTAAAAAGGCTTTCATAAAAGCTGCCATGGTAACAACATCTGTCTAAGATCCGTAACAGGTGACAATCAGACCGGTGCCATTCTTGGTCTCCCTTTGCAGAATGCTGAGTGATCTGGGCTGTATTAGATCAAGCCAGTAGTTGGTTTCACTCCTGGAGAGCACTTACAAACAGGAATGGAAACATCTTTCTGGTTGTAGCAGGGGTTTGAGGGAGATGTGTATTATTTCAATACAGGAAACACAAGCTCTTACAGCAATATTAAAGACCTTTACAGCAATTAACTTAGGGTTCCAAAACTTAATTAGTCAGCTATGTAAATTCCTAAGCAGTGATCTGGTCTAGTGGGAGATGTTCCTGCCCATGGCAGGGAGTTGGAACTAGGTGATCTGTAAGGTCCCTTCCAACCTAAGCCATTCTATGATGCAATATTATCTCAGTAATTTACATGATAAGATACCTGCTTCCCATGATGTGGTAACAATTGCTGTGTGATCGATTAGTCAGTATTGGTAATAAAGGGGAAAGGAGAAGGTATGAAAGAGCTGTAGAAGTGATTGAGATAAAATAAAATAGCTACATTCCATTTCTTGGAAATACTCAATGTGTACTGGAAAAATTTCCTATTAATTCTCTAGGAAGAAGGTGAGGATATGTTAAATTATGATTTGAAAGTTTAATTGTCTTGATATGGTATTGTAATATGTTATGATAAGTATTCAGCAAGCTAATGCTTATTCAGAAATAGGGGAGTGAATATTGTTTACCTCATTTACTAACACTCTGCCCTAGGACGGCAGAGACTTAACCTCTGTAGGCAGGCATGGGCACTTCTTAAATCTCTTTCAGACCAATTGTGAAGCTTTTTTTAAGTAATCCTATGCTAATTACTCATTAGAAACGGTGTTCGAGCATTTGTGAAATTGAGACAATGGTTATGTCAACAAAATTAAGAAGTCATACCTTTTCATCCTCAAACAGATGTATTAGAAATAGGCCTGGGCTTAATATGGAGAATGAAAATGGGTGCAAAACCAACAGCTGAGAAGAAGAGGTGAGATGCAAATGTAGTCCATGACTTCCATCAGCAGAAAAGTAATACATAGAAGGTGTAATCTTGCAAGCATTGTTTTTCTGGCCTGAATTTGCTGAGGGCAACAGGTTGGGAAGATTAAATATATTAATTTACCATTTATCTTTCACTTATGTCCTTACAGTAGTTGATACTTAATCCTGCTGCTGCGCCTAGGCATCGGGATGAGCAAAGTAGGAAGTGAAGAGATGAAACATGCTACAACAATAAAAATTACTTCAAATGGAAGCCAACAGTAGCTGTTGGTAAAGGTCTCTTCTTTCACTCAATTTCTGTTTTCCTTTTCTTCAGCTAAGACTGTTTCACCTCAGAGCAACAAAGACTTTGGGCTCTGAGCCAAAAATATTTGGAACTGGAAATTATTGTTTGGATTTTCTCTGCATAACAGCAAAACTCCTACTTTTAAAAGACCTAAGACTGAAATGAAATCACAAAATAAAAAGGAAATTACATCTGTGATGCATTTGGGCAGACAAAACTGTGTAATACAGTGGATACTGAGTTCTATAAATGAGTCTGTCTCGATCAGGTGTCTTAATTTCTGCCTGTGACGCCAACCTGTGTTCAAATCAAATCTCTTTCCTAAGTGGGAAGAACTAGTTTAGATGTGTCATCGCAAGGATGAAGTGTCAATCAAATGAGTGTATCTAGCTGCCTAAACAGTCCTCATGGTTAATCAGTCAGATAATTTGTTGCTGTCCTGCCCCCTAGTTTGATTATCTAGAAACAATACTGCTCATTTCCAGCCCTGGTCTTGGGTTTGGCATCTGGAGGAAGAAGGGCAATACTGTTTCTTCACCAGTGACGTAAGTGCAGCATCACTGAGAGAAAATTACTTCATTTATATATATATATATTATATATAAAAATATATATATATGTAAAACCAAAGGTGAAATGGAAGCCTTGTGGCTTCTTTGACAGCTCTTAGATGGTGATGGTTTTGTGCAGTACAACATTTAGTTAGTATGTGGTGCAGAGAGGAGTGGGAGTCTATGAAGGAATTCATACTAAGCTCTTTATATAAAGAGTGGTCTTACTGAAAATTATTTGGATACATCTATTAAAAAAACCCAACAAATCCCAACACTTTCTTTTTAGGACTAAAGTTATGATTGGACCAATGGTAATGCTGTAAACTTGGCATAAAAGGCTGTCCTAAAGGGGAAACATTAAGTCCAATAGGGTGTTGCAAACCTATCCTCCTTTGTATAGCAGGAAAAAATTCACCATATATTTAGGTTATCAAGTCTTATATTTTGAAGACATTAATCCCTTTCAGGGATGTGAAGGAAATCTTTTAAGTTTCTGATTCGGCAGCGTAAGAGAGAGGATTCAGCCAGTAACCAATTACCGCACTATTGATTTCTTTAAAAGTTTTGTAAAGGAGACTTTTAGCAGCATCCAGGGCATGGTTGTTGAGAAGTGTATAGGTAAGTGTTGTCTCCCTGTGTATGATAATCAAAATACTTACAGAATTACTTCAGGGAGGTGAAAAGAAAATGTCTTGCCTTGCAATGACAAAACCAATTATATCAAAACCAATTTGTTTATCTGTTCCATATGCTTTAAAGTATACATTTTAAAACTCTTCAATCAAAACACTTGTGTTCATATAGCAATTCTTCATTTCAGGTTCAGTGAAGGAGCAGTCAGAATTTCCATCAAACGCTCTCTGTGCTTCATTATTTGTTCCTGTACCCCCAGTTTTAATTTCTGACACACCTATTTTGCAAGCTGGTATTTACCATCAATGTAACTTAATGAAAATGGATAAACACAGGTCTTTCTTGATGTCCTCTATGACATCAAGCTGGAGTTAACAGGCAACTAAGATTAAATGTAGACAAATTTAAACCAGGACCCAGAGATAAAATTAGTCTGTATTGCAAAAGAGAAATTTGGAAAACAAAATGTAAGGAAAAACTATCATGTGAAGCCATCTAAGTCAGAGTTTGTGGGTAATCATGGCAGGATGAAGTGATCTTGAAAGGTCCTTAAGACTATGTGATTTTTTTTTTCCTTTTTTAAATTAGAATTTTAGGTTTGTGAGTTGGATCTTGAAGTTTTAATTTGGTTTCTTGGAGCTTCGCTAAGACTATTCAGTTCTGAACACTGAAGGTTATAACTGAGCAGTTTGTAGAAATTAAAAGTGTGTGTGTAAATTTCTTGTTTAGGGAAGTGGCAGAAATATGACTGTAGTCTCATACTAAAATGATAGGTACAGCTAGTCCTTCTCTTAAACTGTTGTAAATTGTCAGCTTCCTTGATTTTAATAAGCTAATGCCTTCTTCCAGAATGATGACTTAATAACAATCTGTAAAATGAGTTTTGGGATTTTTTTTGGTTGTTTTGAGAAGGGCTTTGCAAGTCTTCTTCCTACAGAATCATTTCTTGATGGTACACCCTCAGCTGGTGTGTTGTCATAATTCTCTTCCAACTCTACGCTGAATTATTGCACTTAAGACAGTTTAGAACTGACATCTATCTGAAATAAGGAAAATATTTTTGTAGGAAACACTGGTATTGCTGGATGGTTACTTCAATCAGTGATCTTTTTCAGCAAAGAGAAGTAAACTAAAGGGGAAGTGATAGGTATAAAAAAGGCAAGGAAAAGAAATATAGAGGAGTCTAGTTTTGTCCAGTGATCTCAACCTGATATTTGCATAACTAGAACCAGGGCTAAGTGCATCTGCAGTTCAGTAAATACTAAATCCTGTGTTCATTGTTTTCAGTTTGAGCTTCTTCAGAGACCTGGATCCTTTCTGTCCTCTGCAAAAGAGGCTACTGTGTTTTTGGAAACAATGGGTGTTTTCAGAACTTACATAATAAACATAGCTTGACTGAATTCTGCATCATTTGGGAGTATGTCCCAACATATAATTTATTAATTATCTTCCTCTCTCTCCCCTCCTTCCTTTTTTTTTTTTTAAAAAACCTTGGAAAAGATCTGATTATGTGGTTAAATGTGATTTTTTCAAGTGTGGATCTGGATCTAATTTGCATACACTGCTCCTAAATGTTTTGTAATATTTGGAAGAATCCAGTT